AAGCGACTATACGCAAATTAGCAACGCTTCTTTGGTCGCGGCTATTGCGACCATTTTTTGCTGTGACCGCTGCAGAGTACCGTTTCGCTAAATCTAACACGTTGTTTCGCTTACACTGCAGGGTGGTTTCCTAGGATCTGTTTACTTGCAATTAGGGCTGTAATTTCTACATATCTATGCGAGACGTGCTCCAACCGAGGAGAAAAGCAGTCGTAAGACTCAAAACAGATCAAAACATTACCAGATTATATTATGCTGCAGGTGCAGTTCGCAAGATCACCCCTATTACAAGTCGCTATTCGGAATATGACATTACACAAAAGATCGCACAAACAGAGGCAGAGGAAAAAACGTATCAGATGTATGTCGCTAGCACGAAAACAATTCAGTGCATCGGGCTCCGCAGACTCGGCGAAAGTAGACGAGCTAGAACGACAAGGCTACCTGTGCCTCTCACAACATTATTCTCTCACCATTTCACTACAAAGCGAGTTCCCCCACCCCTCGCCGCCCCATCTAACACTGAGTGAGAGTAGAACCATTAGTCAGGGGTGTGGGTCCTAGAGCAGAGGTTTGCAATCTGTTTTTGTACGTTTCGTTTCCTAGGAGAGCGGTATCGAAAAGAAGAGGATTTTCCGATACTCTTCATGACGCTTTTGTAGACATTTTTTGTTTCCACTTCGAGGAACTTTGAATTATTCCATTGAAGACAAAATTTCTGACATCCATCTATAAATAATCCTCTAGATCTTTTGACAGGGATCAGCACTGGTAAGATGTTGGAGATATTATCGATGCAACATAACAATGGGCAACATTCACGTGTATATTTTATAATATTTTGCCTTGCATTATCTCTTCCCCACCAAATAACTAGTTGTATAATCAGCTTGTCTGCGCCCTTTAGCCAGCCATTGAATTCGGAAAAGCTATTTTTTGGAGGGCATTACGTTGTGGCATAACTAAAATGCATCAGGTAAGGTGAAAATATGTTATTGGGGGCTCTGTGTTGAATTCGGCGATGCGTGCAGCTTTATGAGATTTTTCGGTGCTATTTAGATAAAATCGGATCTTCTGCTTCACTTCAATGCTTCACTGATAGACACGACCACATCGTAAACTCTTTGCTCCAATTAGAAGTTTCAGACCTGAAGTTCCGAGTTTATGAATGACTTTATGCGAAATAATTTTCGAAAAGGAACAAGTTACTTGTTCTGAACTGTCCCTGATCTTCTTCAAGCAAATTATCGTAATTCTAGTCGATTTTAATAAGGAAACGGTCTGATTTTGGAAACGTTGTATTCTTTGCAAACGAGGAATTCCAAGGTGCCAACTCATTCCAATTGAAGCATTTCAGCGAAACGTTATTTAGAATAAGTATATTATGAATTCAGTATGCAGCGCTGCATTGGGCGTAATTTTTGGTAGCAACATTGACTGGACGTGTACGACTGATAGCAGTGCATTCGCAATGAATGCAATTTTTCTCACTCAGGACTGAATCACGAACTAGCGTCAATCCCAAATTGCGGCTTTTTACCTTCTCGTTCCAGTTGCAATCCAATTTGGTGACATTTCCTCGAAAATACCAGACAGTGCTCACTCTTCGTGCCTGGAGGACCAAGAAAGGTGAGTATTAGCTGTTCCTGTTATCACGAAAGACCCAAATCTTTTATTCCTTACCCCTTGGTCTTTACTCAAAAGCCACTTCCGGCTTCGGCCAGATTGTTGAATGGCTTCTGGAAAATTGAATTGCTCTTGAAAGCATCGAACTGGCCGTGAAGCTCATACCGAATGGTATCAATTCATTTGATTAGTTATGGACAGAGGGTAAGAAACGATTGTTGGGCCCTTGAGTTGGGCAGGCTCTGCTTCGAAGAGCCAGTCTGTAATACAGTCAATATCAGTCGTAAATGTCGGTATTTTGCATTTTAGGCTAAAAACGCATGCTTGATTTCACTGCTGGGAAACACATCGAACGGTCACCTTCAGCCGTTATGGGGGATCCTCATAAACTTAAAGGAGACACTTGGCTGTGTGCAGCAGTGAAAGATGCCTGACGTGAGCCAGAAGGCGGGTCACCCTTACAACACCGAAATTTGTCGAAATTCGTTCACGAAGGTGCGGCTGGTGGAGTGTGCCGCGCATTCGTTAGTGCAACCAGCTTATTGCTGCAGCCAGTGCTAATTCAAAAAACGCTACTTGTCTTTGAGGAAGGCTCGTCTTTTTTGTAATCGCTGAAAGGTGCAGTGATGTGCTGCTCAAGGCGTTATTGCTGCAGCCAGTGCTATTGCCAATTGCCAACGTAGCTTGTTTTTCTCTTAATTAGTCATTTTCACTCAAGTGCTGCATTGATTTATCCCTTCGACCATGTGTCTACATTGTGTTGAGGGCAGAATATAGTATTGTTTTGAATTCTGCAATTGCTTTGATAAACTCTTCTTGATCGCCCCGATGTGAACTTTCTTTTTCCTGAAGATTACATTCACAAATACATAATAATAGATTTTATAATCAAAAAAATCTTTGGAGAAAAAGTTAAGCGTTCGCAAAGAGTACATATTAAGGTGTAATCTCTGAGTTGGATCGTAACACATAGTACTATGATTGAAGCGGGTCAAATGGTAGAAGTGATAAAGGTAAATGAAAGTCATTAAAAAAAGCAAAAATAAACCGCGACTGCAATGATTATATCAAGTAGGTAGGCAAATGAAAACTAAGTGAAGATGTTGTCCCCAGTGGTTTCTCTGAGTTCATGAAAGAGATAAAGGAGGCCTGATAATGAGAATGGCGTTCTCCGTTTGGTCGATGTCTACTAAAAAAATCACAGAGCTGTTTCACAAAGTCCAGCGGCGATGAAGATCGGATAAAGACCAGAGATGGGGAGGGGTCACGCGCATGAGGATCGCGCCTCGCCCTGTGGACAGCACAGTCCAAGCGGTGCGGAACTAGAAAGTTTAAGGGTTGGTCAAATATACGGTAGAACGCTAGCCGAGATTCTACTTTGTAGTTTCGATCGATATCCAGTTACCTGCTTTTGTGCAGAGTTGGGAAAGCCAGTAATGGATGATGATAATGATGATGAATCCTAATAGCCATAGCAACTAAAGTTTCTGGGGATTAGTTTAAAAAGCTGCAAATCGTAGGGTGGCAGGTATTTAATACCTGTGGTCGTGATTGTGATTCATCATCTTCTTTCATGATGGCGAGCCCATTCAAATTAAATTTAATTTAGTGTTTCTAAGTTGCGCTGTCACTAAGGCACGCTATCAAATGCAAAGTCGTTAGATCTGACTTCACTGCGACGCACTTTTATACAACATCTCTTCCATATCGAAGTGGCCGTGCCCCGTCACGCAGTGGTATCAGCCTTAGCTTACCAGAGCGTAGAACCAATTCAAGAGCATTTATAAGTTTTGCATTCTCTTCTGCTCAACCATGCACATCAGATCCGTTTGTTTTAGAATGTCCAACTTCGTCACCACCTGGTTATAGCCTTATAATATGCATTCTTATCCTCCAAGCAGTAGATCCATATTGTACCTTCACAGCGTCGACTTATCGTCAAAACTATGCTCTTAAGATGTCTAGCGTCAGCCATGTCATTCCGCCAACAATAAAAACTGGGCTAATGTGGTGACGTGGAGCAAGCACTGAATCTTGGGCAAAGTTGATAGTTTTGTGAAAACATGCATAACAACAATATGTATAAGCTTCATAAAAAACCGACCGTTTCTGCGATTGTTAAATTCTTATTTTGCGAAGTTTTCGAATGGAATTACTTATTAACGCGACGGTTTGAGATTTCGACTCAATTGTCTTTTTCAAAGCCTAAACGCAACTCGAGTTGATTCGTATGCCATGCAGCAATAGTCCATTCTACTTAAGCGAACATTAAAACGTATTCAAAACCTCCAATTCGAAATGAACCCAGTTCTACCCCCCAAATGAACAAAATCCGCCGTCGCTTCAAGCGACGATCAGTAGCAAACGATACTTAATGTTGTCTCCTCTTGTTTTGACTTGATGTTTTGTTAACTGCTGTTTTAACGCCGCAGTGCGCGGAGCGAAAGTCTCACAAGGTTGGCGATTCGTGGGCTAAACTCCAGTCTCGCCGGGACTCGAACCCGCACTTATCCTTTCCGGAGACCGTGCTCTTATCCCTTACACTACTTATAATTAGACCCCGCTTCCCCTCGCCTTCTTAACATTGTATCAACAGGTTGTACGTGTGAGTGCTGATAAGCTATGGCATATGAGCCATTAAGAAGGCGAGGGCAAGCGGGGTCTCGGTAGTGTAAGCGATAAGAGCATGGTCCCCGGAAAGGACAAGTACGGGTTCGAGTCCCGTCCGAGACTGGAGTTTTGCCAACAAATCGCCAACCTTGTGAGGTTGTCACCTCTACCCTTATGATGAGGAAATTCACTTCATTTTGCTACTCAATCACATTTCACAGTGCGGTATGTATGGCAAAAGATAGATGGTTACGGACAGACTTTCATCTTTACCGCACTCATCTCGTTTTGAGCTTCCGTTATGTACTTGCGACGCTTTTGATATTCAACTCGCTGAAATCTCGGTTTCCTGCGCTTACATACTGTTTTTCTTTCGAAATTATTGCTATTGTGCCTCTTTGATTTTATGTCAATCAAATGCCGTCATCAGGCTGCACCGAACCACATCAGATAGGTATTCTTTAACTCGTATAGCCAGTTGCGCTCCAGTTCCTTCGATATAGGAATATAGTTTAAGAACGATGAAAATGGCGTTCAATGCAGATATAAAATGACTTAAGCTCTCGGTTTGAACACTTCTTCATGTATAAATATGGTGCACCCCCAAAGCGCCTTGTCAAAATTAAGTTGGAAATACGCCAGGGAAAATTTGCCAGTTTCCCATCTTTTCTGTGATAGGAATCGAAACATCGAATATAAATACATGAATTGTACAATATTGTATAAATAATATTGTATAAATATAATATTGTATTTGTATAAATACAAATATTGCGTATTCGTGATCTTTTTACTCGCCTCACAACTCACTCAATGCTTTTCAAGTTTCCAGGGGAAGCGTAAATGTGACTAGGTACTTCATTTTTTTTCAAATTGAACCGAGACGTAAACTTTGACATGGTTTCTCGTATCACCATGTATCAAATATTGGATTGATGCCAGAGTTTTTCCCCGACTTTTTTGAAAATATCTTAATAGCGATCCAGCCTGAAGATTAGAGGTACACACCATCATAATCCACTACCTGATGTCAATGCTCAGGCAGCTTATCGATTTGTTCCTCCCAAAAGGACGGGGCTGTATTTGAAGAAGTCGTCGACTCGCCTTTCTGACCTCATCCTCTTTTTCCATCCAGAGAGCGCTGCACATGGCTGAATGAAGTGGTTGGGAGGAGCGAGCACAATGCTGTAGGGGGTCAGGCGACAATAAGCCATCAGCACTTCACCAGCCCCCCCCCCCCCATCTCCTCTGCGGTGTGAGGTCGGGCGCTATCATGGTGGAAGTAGATTTCCGCTTTTGATCCAAGAGTGCGGTCGATGTGTTCTTTCAATTTCCGCAGTTGGGCAACCTAAGTGAAAGCGTCAATCGTCTGTCCTGTCTCTTGTAGCTCCCATTGCTCAAGGCCTCTTCTGAACCACCAACAGGGCATTAGAATCTTCTCGGGGTGAAGGTCGGCTTTTGAGGAGACATCTGGCTGTTTTCCTTTGTCGAACCACAGCCGCTTCCTCACAGGTTTGTCGTAGAAGACCCACTTTTCATCCCCAATGATCATCCAATTGAGTAAGTGGAGCTTCTTTTGGAAAGTGAGTAGAGGAGTGCAGGTAGCCAACTTCTTCGAGAGGTCACAGCGGACAGTTTATTTTGGATCCATCGACCAAGCTTTGCTACCTTGCCGAGCTGCTCCAGTCCACGTACAAGCATCAAGCAAGCGTCAAGCATGATTGCCATTTTCCTGGTGGTTAGGTACAGGTACTCCACGGTTGAACGTAGTACTTCCAAATCCAACTCCTTCCGCCGACCCGAACTCTGAGCATTTTCGATAGAAAACCTCCTTCCTTGGACTTGGCGAACCACGTTTTGCATGTGCGGTAAGTGATTGCATCCTCGCTGTATGTTCCGCTAGCTTGGTATGAGCTACTTTTGTATTCCAGCCGAAACCGTGAAGCAAAACCAGGCTGTGGCGTACGTACATTCTGTAACAGTGGTAATTAAGCGGCATTGTCTTCTGCATACGCACTGCGGGTGAGCCAGTGTGTTGAAAGAGTATCATGCACACGTCACACACGTGATGACGACTCACCAAAATCCATGCAGACGAAATACGGAACGATCAAACACGGTGAAAAAGAATTGATGCGTCGACCTAATAATAATTCAGAGATACAAAGTAAAGATGAAGTGGTTACTTTCACATGCCACTTCAGATTGAGGTTCCTCTTCAGAATACCGTGTAATGGCAAAGTAGTTGTAACTGGTAGTTTGTAACTCTGCTCAGCAAAGAACATCTGATTTTCGAATTCTGATATATATTATTCTTTGATGCTTGAAGAAAGGGCTGTGGAATTTTCCAAGCCAAGTAACACCGAATACAAATCATTTCAGAGGGTGGTCTGGGAACAAGATGGTTAGGACGCATCGATCTCCATCTGTTATGAAAGCTGCAGAAGTTGCACAGATTCCACACGTGCCAGTCATTCTTTTCATAGGTACAGTTTTCAGTTACATTTACTCATTAAAGAGACTTGGTAATAAGGGCAAGAAAAATTAGCGGAAAATTTCTAATAAAAGATAATTTTTACGGAATTGCTCATATATCATCTCTGAAGGATATCAGTGTTTTGCCAACTGCTGCGTTGTAGTGCTAGAGTCAGAAACCTTTTCACACGAAGCGTAACCTGATTAAAAGGAAAAGAAGGCATCGAATTTATCAGAGTATAACTACTTTACCGCGTAGCGTTAACAGCAGCTGTGTTATAGCGGGTAATGGAAAGCCGTGTCTAGACCTTATGCAGAGAATTGAATGAAAAAGAACACTACATAAAAGATTACGAAGATCGCTCCAACTAACTGACTTCTTCTACCTTGACCCTGCGCCGTAGTGAGGCCCCTATTTTTCAGTTCTGTTTGTTATAACCACTTCCTTCTACCGTCGGCATCTTCTACCGTGACATTGATGTATGCGCCCTCGTTTATCAAGTAAAGGCAGCTTTCTTCAGGAAGACTTCGTGATGGCCTCTACTTGGTACCTGTGTGGTAATGCGTCAAGGTCATGTGGTCCTGCGACTTTCCCAACACTGCGATAGGTAGCGACTCTTCGTATAGTCACCACAGCACCCTCGTTTTTAACATGGGCCATCCACAACCAACCGTGGTCCCATCGTAGCATCATTTCGGGAGAGTGAAGTAGCCGTTCATGTCTTAGAGGCTAGCCACGCGGTCTTTAATGGGTCAACGGAGAAGTGTGCAAGGTAGCTGTGGGAAATGCAACGTTCTTCGGCAGTATCAAATTCCGCTCTCACATTTCTTGAAGTTCTTGAGTATAGATTAGGTGATGGTCTTCAAAGAAATTTTGATGTGCAGCAGTCCCAAAATCGTTCGCTTCTGCAAAGGTAATAGAAGAAAATAGGGGTACATCAAGATACAAGCAGGAGCAGTGTCAAATATGTCTCACAAAGTTGGCGATATATGAACAAATCTTCAGTCTCGGACTCTCGGACCGACGACTCGAACCCGTACTTGTCTTCTTCGGGGACCGTGATCTTATCCTTTACAGTACCGAGACCCCGCTTGCCCTCGCCTTCTTAATGGCTTATATGCCATAGCTTATCAGCACTGAACTGTCACGTTGAAAGCTCTACATGATATAGCTTGTTATGACTTGATGATCAGTTAACTGCTGTTATGTCGCCGTAGTACTAGTTCCGGAAGTCTCACAAAGTTGGCGACTTATGGGCAAAACTTCAACACGTTGTAGGTGTGGGTGTTGATAAGCTATGGCATCTGAGCCATTAAGAGAGTGAGGGCAAGCGGGGTCTTGGAAGTGTAAGGGATAAGAGCACAGTCCTCGGTAAGGACAAGTACTGGCTCGAGTCCCGTCCGAGACTGAAGTTTTGTCCATAAATCGCCAACTTTGTGAGACTTTCGAAACGCGAAAGGCAATATAAGAGCAGTTAACAAAACATCGTATCAAAATATGGTTTATCGAATGCTCCTTCTCACAGTTCAGCACATTTTCGCACCTGTGTACTTTAATAAGACCAAATCACCATAACCCCGTTCAGACGCGCCGATAATCAATCAGAATGTACTGCAAAACTTTCAGAAGTGAGCGATCCACTGATATTATAACTCCACTTTCGAATAAAGAAAATTCAAATAATGAGAAGGTTCTCTAGTTTTCCATATTGGACAGGTGGGCATGGCATGCAAGGATTTTGAGATAAACATCCGAAGCAAGGGCAGCCAGCGTGATCGGTGTAGGTGGGCGTTCCACAAACTAAGAGAACTTGAGGTGCTGTTCTGTACCCATTTACGTTTATTACTTTCAAACTAGATTTCATGAAGACGAGCTGTGGTGAAACATATTGGAAAAACCAAAATGCTGCTGAACCAAAAAATATATAGTTTTTTGCCATTTCCCGGTTCTTTCAAAAGGTTTGTGACTGATTTGGAAACAGTGTCCGATCGAACAACCGTACAACATGATTAGTGTCACTGAGTGCTACTCAAAATATGAGAATTCAAAGGTCGCTGCTTTCAAGTAACATATGTTTCCTTTTTTCACCACTTCCAGCCTGGATTTTTTGAAGCTGAATTATGATGAAAAAGTTTTGTAAGACTTAAATTCTAGTTAATACTACTGAAATATGTGAATAATTTCGTTGCAATTACCCATTGTCTCTATTGAAATGCTAAAAACAAAGGAGCAGAGCTGACTCCATAAGATCGATCTCTTCTACGGTTCTACGGTGCCACACCCTTCCAGGTACGCAAAAAATCTGCATTCGTAAATGCGTACTACGAAGACCTTTTTGCCTTTTGTCCTGATGTTCGTTTGACGTCTCGAGGAATGCAAGTAACCGCCCTGGTCCAACGGTCATCACTATATCATATGACGTACCCGGCCCACCTGGTTTTCGACTACTTGGCGTAGTCAAGGGCACGCCTGATTTTCATTCGTAGACAGAGCTCGGAACCACGGAATCCCTTTTGCAATTGCACGTATGGGGATGATTGGAGCATCAGCGCGTTGAATGACGCTGACTGCATGCTCATCCTGCTTTCCTAGAGTCCGAGTCTCTGATTCGTATGTCGAAACAGGAAGGACCGCAGTGTCGGATAGGCGAGTGACTTCATCCTTCTTCACTATTCCCTCGATGTTGTTAAATGCTCCCACACCGCGCGTTCTCTTTTGCTCAGCTTTTGTACTAGGTCCTTCATATCGACTTTTCGGCCTAGATACACGTGCCTGATGCATTCATAGAAGTTCGTTCAGCGTGAAAGGACCACTGGGTAACAATCTGCTCCTCATGAACATCGCCTTCGTTAGGATGAGTTTCAAGCCGATCTTTCCACGAGCGTTGTCAAATTGGGGCAGCATTTATTCCGCCTGCCCGACGTTAGGTGTTATGAGCACGATGTCGTCTGCAAAGCGGAGATGATGCATGTAGCATGTATCCTGTTCAGAATGACGCGTGTGAATAGTTTGTAGATTACAGACAACAGGCAGATTTGACAATAATGTCCAAGATCATTTGGATCTTCTTTCTTATACAGCAACACAGTACTGGTAAATTTCCATGAACTCGGCACTTTTCCGACTGGTACCTTGTGGAGAGCCAAGCCAGGGTTTTGGCAACGACTGACGGACGGCTTTTAGATGTTCTGTTTTGACCCGTGGGGACCGGGTGCCATACAATTCTTTATCGACGTGATGGCATGTCGAATTTCGAAGGGGAGAACTGAAGAGACAACACATCCTTCTTGCCTAGGATGATGGTTAGGCAGGTATACGTGACTGTTGAAGAGATTAGAGTGGAAGTCGTAGATGACCTTCTCCGTTGCCTTTTTTAGATCGATCAAGACGGCAAGGGATGTTATCGTGGTCTTATAAGTGATATATCTCCGGCGGACTTTGCGATCTCTCTTCCCAGCCTCTTCGGCTTCGGTCAAAACTGCTGCTCTTTTCTCTTTTAAATTTCTCTTTATCGTTTCTCTGCATTGCGTCGCAAGTTCGGTCGTTAGCTCTTTATTGACTGCAGCGCGCGCGAATTCACGCTAACGTATCACCTCGAGGGTCTCCGATGAAATTCGTTTCTAGGCTGCTTGTAGACTCTCTGCTTCCCTAGCACTATCGGGAAGATGTTCGACCAAGCGGTCATATTATTCTTTTCATCAAGATTCATCTTTGTTTAATTTGAGTTCACTATAGTGGTGCTAAATATAGTATGACTCGTTGCTTAGAAGTTTAGAACGTTTTCGTCAATCTTAAGATAGACGTGGCAAACAAAGCCAGCCAGGTGTGCAAGAGAGATTGGTAGCTGATGTTGCCCTTCTTCTTCTTCGCCCTAGTATTAGTCACGCGCCGTCATTAATCATTCAAGTGTACCTCGCCTAGACGGTCGAGTCCTCAACTACCTGTGCCTAATCGGGGTACGTTGCTCTTGTCAGCGGTCTCCACTTTCTTCTCTCCGAAGCATCTCCTACTGATACCTCACCTTCGACGAACTTCTCGAGATCACGTCCGGCCACCTCTTTTCAGGGGCTCCTCGTGGTCGTTTTCCTTGAGCCTCGAACTCCATTGCCTACCTTCTTGGAAGATTCGATGGTCTTCTCAGTACGTGTCCATACCACAGTAAATGCTGCGCTCTCACCTTCAGCTGGACAGGGGCTGGTTGCATAGCCGCCCTCATGTTTTTATTTCTGATCCGACCCGGCCGCGTCCAACCGCAGGCTCATCTGAGCATTCTCAATTCAGCAGAGTAGAGCTGTCTTTCCTAGCTTCATCTTGAAGCTAACACTCGCTGCTTCATCGTGGGCCTTACCACTGTCCGATACTCATTTTTTCTCTTAGCACCTCGGAGCACCGGCGGTCGCACAGGATACCGATGGACTTCCTCACTTCATCCATCCCGCGTTGATTCGGCTTTTAAAGCCTGGTGCATCAGCGGCTGTCATCAGCGGCCAATTCGCTTCCTAGGTAGCGAAAGTCCTCAGCCTTCTCTAAGGCCGTCTACGATTGACTCCGTGATCTCTCGGAGCTGGAAAGCATAGCTTTTTCGCGTTTGACCAGAGCCTGTTTTCCGCCAGCACTTTCTGCCATTTCGGCAGTCTGTTCTGAAGTTCTATGCTCTCCACTCTCAGAAGATGTCGTCAACGTAGAAAATACTATTCAGTGGTCCATTCATGAGCTCTTTTGTGATGATGTCCATTTTAAGCACTAAGAGAAGCAGGCTTGAAGCTGAAACCTGGCGTATCCCAACAGTGGCATGTATTAGTCCGGTTTGGCCTTATTGGGTGCTTAGTGACGTCGTAGAGCATTGTACTACATGTTCCTGACCAGAGAGATCATGTGCTCTCCAAGGTTTCAATCTTGGAGCCTTCTCAGAAGGATATGCTACTGGAGATGATCGAAGGTAGCGGGGATTTCGCTTTGTGGATGCTTCTCCATTACTTGTCTAGCTGGCATCTGCTGCAGACCTTTCAGGGCTCGATCAGCCGCTCCCACAATTTCATCGTGTGAGCTATCAAACTGAGCTCGCTAGTTGGAAATCTCCATCGCGTCCCCCTTCTGCTCAGAGATGGCCACAATAGTTCTGCTCTTCCACGCATCTAAAATTCTTCTTTCAGTGGTCAAGGTGTTCAGAAACCGCGTGAGCCACATTATGTCGTGCTCTCCCAGCATCTCCCACGCATCAATCGGTACCCCATCCGGACCAGCTGTTTTCCCGACCTTCATCTTTCCTAGTCTATGTCCAGAATTCGATGGTGCCAGCTAGTGGCTCTGTTGGAGCTGTCTTTACTGACAAGTTCTTCGTTTAGGAGCCTGTCGGAGTATTCCTCCAAACAACGCCTGATCTCACGAGGTTCCTCGGGGTTCCACCCTCAATGTCCCCAACGGGCTTCGCTACTCCGATGTTATAAGTAAAACGATGAGGCGCCTTCACCAGCCCAAAGACGGCCATTAAATTTGTCATACAATGCGTTCATTTCAGTATTCTCTGCCTTCGCTTCTTGATGAACCTTTCGGGAATTCTGTAGACCGCTAGGTATTCTGGAGCTCGAGTCTTTTCATAGCGCTCGTAGGCCGCTTTCTTCTGCCTCACAACTCGCTTGACTTCATCCCTCCATGACCCTGCTTCCTTTTCTCCTTGGAATCCGACTCGAGTTCCTCAAAGCGTTTTCCTTGCACATCATAGGTTAACCTTCACGGCGTTGCTCCAAGTCTGCTGGACCCTCTCTTACTTCATTGTAATAAGTACCCCTCTCCCTCCAGGTAACCTCTTCCGTGTCTATCCTCACAGCTATGATTCGACTGCTAATCCTGTTGACGGTAGAGACAAAGTCTTTGAGGAATTCCGTCATTGCTACGGCCACACCATTTCGTTTGGTGTCTTATCCATTGTGGTAGAGCTTGACACCACAACCAATTTCCCTGGCTTCTGCTCTTTGTCAGCGGTTTTTCTGAATGCATAGAATTCACAAGTGAGCGATCTCATGTTCAGTATCCCTATTCGAACTTACTTCTTTAGCCGAGGCCGCGCACTCCCCGGTAGCCTTCGCGCCTACCGTCCACTGGACTCAGGCGGGGATCCTGCGCGCCACTCCGGATCTTTATCACTGTACTTTCCGAGACTTCAGAAATGATTACTGTGACTAGGTCTCTCCATCAGCCACCCTGCACATGTGAGCCTACATTTCTGTCCACTCTGCTATCCCTGCCTCTAGTAGCTGATTGCGACTTTGTGAATCTAACATAGACCAAAAAGACAGATCAAGTACATTCCAGTTTTTGGAACAGAATTTCGAAAGCTTCAGTGGTTCTGCCTCAAATGTCTTTGTTCTTCTTGAACCCATCTCACTACTGTTTAATTCTATAGGATTGACGTTTGATGTAAAAACGTGCAAGGAATATGGTCCCAACAACGCCATGCGAACTCGTCCGATTGGAGTATGTACGTCGGCTAAGCCGGTTTGAAGCCCTTATTACGCCCTATCTAGACCGATTTCCGGCTCAACAACGTCCATTGCGCTATACTTGGGATCACTGATTCATCCTAGGGAGATATATCGGAAAGCATTATTCTGAACTGCGCCTTCAGTCTTTCCCTACGGTCATAAAGTGAGTAGTAGCAAAACACCTTCTCGACATCTCTCTTTCCTCCCCCCTCCTCTGTCCTCCACTCCTCTCCCCCCTTCCATTCTCTCTCCCCCCGGTATAAGCCGCAATTTGCGGGCAGGGCGAATGAAGCGGGGAATACTATTGCTTAAATTTTGAGAAGTAGGGAGGAGAAAGGGTAGGTGACAATAAGAGCAACGTCGTACGGGTAACTTTGAAAGCTCAGGAGACAAGACAATTCCGTAAAGATATTTGAAATATATAGTTTTCTCGAAGTTTTTTATTGTCCTTACATAAGAATCTGTGAGTTCTCTGTAGTGTCTCATTACTGAAGGAAAATAAATACTCATTATGCTAACGCAGGTGGACCCGGAGGAGGAAAAACCAGGCATGCCGCTCGTATTGCTAACACCCTCGCCGACCAAGGACTTGCTCATATTTGCATGCCCGACGTTATACGGTATATTGACTGTATCCATTTCTACTCGATTCCTTCTAGGGAAGCTTTGAAAATATCGAGTCTAGACGAAGCATTGAATAAAAGGATGATTTCAGCAACGCACTCCTAAAATATAAGGAACGATACTCAGAGTGGAAAGCAGCTAATGATTGCTATCTTCGAGGTTGGTTCACACCGTTTGATTTGTAGCGTGCACAAGGTTGATTGCAGTCAACACACAGAGCATTGCAGCGATCCGCTTTGCAGTGAAACCTTGCGTTAGGCTCAAACGTTTCAAGGTCACTAAACGCATGGGAGTTCCACACGGCATCTGGTTGCTTCGTGTGGCTCATCGAAATCAGTATCCGCCTATCCTATCGCAAATTTTTGAATTTAGAGCCTGATTCCTCACCGATGCTGCCGATCTATGCAACAAGCGCAACAACGATAGAAAAACAGACGAAGTGAAGCGAAAAAAGTCTCTCGTCGGAGATTAAGAATGTTTTTGAAGGAGTAATACCGTTCTGTTTAGTTTATGCGGAAACAGCATGAATATAGGCGTATAAAACTAGACTTCGAATTCGAAAACAGACGAAGTAGTAAATGCGGATTCCAAAAATTGAAAAGTTGAGCATGACGGCATTCCCCCTGTCAATTTTGTGGGCGACTGATGATAATGGTCACGAGTGACATGACATGATGCCTATGAATTCAAGCGTCCTCGGTTGGATCTTATTAAACAGCTCGCTTCAGCGATGTCTATCAATCTTTTTACGCTACATGTCTTCGCGGCTTTCTTGAGCTCTTGGACCCTAGTTCCTCACCAGCTACTGTAAGTGAAGACGCAATGGCTGGCAATATTGATGGTTTTGATCGAACACTTGTTCTGGCTCTTCAGGTATCTCTATCTTGCACGGCCTTATCCTTAACCCTTTCCCAGTCTTTGAGATATATACCTTTTAGTAAAGATATCGATTTTTGATCTGAGTCACACCTGTTTCAGGACTTTTCCTTGCCAACGCTTAGCCTGTTTAGACTATCTCCAGCTAACTAAGAATACCGTTTTGCGGTGTGTGTTACACTTACTTTGGGACTCACCTCTCGCAGGTATTATTTATTCACTTTTTCCTAGCCCTTGGGAATTCTATCAGTGGAAGCATCAATTTTGGCTTGAATTGCACCTACTTTAGTGCTCAGAATTGCTAGATTTTACTAACCCTTTCCCATCCTCTAGAATGTCTTCGAGCGAAATCACCGATCTCTGGTCTGAATCACACCTACTTTGGTGCTCATCAATTGCTAGGTTTGACTCACCGTTTCCCAACCTCTAAGATGTCTTGAGCAAAAACATAGAATCTTGGCAGTATCACACCTACTCTACTAGTGCTCATGAATTGATAGGTTTTACTAACCCTTTCCTAACCTTTAAAATGTTTTCAGCGAAAACAGCGATTTCTGGTCCTAATCACACGTGCTTTAGTGCTCATCATTTGCTAGCTTTCACTCACCGTTTCCCAACCTCTAGAATGTTTTTAGCAGAAACATCGGTTTTTGTTTGAATCCCACCTACTCTAGTGCACATCGTTTGCTAGTTTTTCTTACCTGTTCCCAGCCTCTAGAGTGAAATCCAGAAATAATATCGATTTCTGGTCTGAATCACCCCTGCTCCAGGGCTCATCATCTGTTAGTCTTTACTCACCGTTATCCGATATCTAGAATGTCTTCAGGCAAAAACATCGATTTCTGATCAGAATCGAACCTTCTCTTGTGATCATCATCATTTTTTTTAGCTTTTTCCTGCATTTTCCCGGTCTTTAGAGTAACCTCCAATGAAAATATCGATTTCTGGTCAGCATCACACCTACTTTTGTGCTCGCCAATCGCAAGATTTATTCATTTATTCAATTATTTATTTATTCATTTATTTATTTATTTATAACATCGCGCAAAAGGCAAACGCAAGAAAAATGAAGTTAACAAATCACATCTTAAGTTGCAGACTGACCCTATATAAACTAGGGCTCACCAAAACGTTGCAATTCCAACTTACTTATCCGCTTAAAGTGTCGGAAGGCAGGAGACGTTATCACTACTGTAGCTTTAAGGAGCGTGAATTTAGACCCTGCTCGACAAGTGAAGCTATGACGCTTTATATTCGTTTTAGGCGTGGCATACGATATTTTTACTGGCCACCCTCTAGTTCAAGAGTTGATCATACCATAAAATTCAGCCGCGTCAATCCTAGCAATACCAATGAGCAGCTTAAAGACCATACACACAGCAAAATCCATTCTATGAGAAAAGAGAGTGTGCAAATTGTACTCTTTATTCCTACAAGACACATGAGGCGGCTTTGAATAATAATTGTATTGAATATACCCACCAGATCTGATAAATTTTTTACTGGTGAAACTATTTTGAATTTTTTCAATTGGCTGAATTTCCTCCTTTTTATAAGGGCAAATGCTGATGTTTCGCACTCTGAAATAGGACTAATGTACGTTTGATGAGCCTTCACGAGGGGATCTTCATCACTGATTGTGAAACCCTTGAAAATTCGGCGTGTCCTATAAGTATCTTTTTTGTACATCATTTCCAAATGTTGGGAGAAGCAGAGTTTATTATCGTAATGAAAACCAAGGTCTTTGACGGAAGAGACACTTTCAAGAAAATGATGGTCAAGTGGATAGGATTGTATTGTATCAGACTAGAAGAATCCATTCTCATACACACAGTCTTTTCAAGGGCTAGTGACAAGTTCCATTGCTAAGACCTTCCAGAAATATCGTGTAAAGAATTCTGAATCGTTCTTATATCATCTTCACTTTCAATCAGCCTATAGATTTTAATGTCGTCAGCAAATAGTTTGCACACAACTCCACATTCTTCAAGCAATTTAGGGAGTTTTGCTGTAAATATTGCAAAAAAGTATAGGATATAGTACCCCTTGAGAAACTCCATCGTGGTTTTTTTTCAATCCCGAAAAACTGATTCAATACGAACTTGGAAGGTTCTCCTAACAAGGAATTGCTCTATCCAGCTGCGTATTGGAGGATGGAACTTAAGGAAAACCAAACTGCTTAAGAGCTTAGAATAATCAACCTTATCAAATGCCATGGAAAAGTCGAACTAAATTATGTCGCACAATTTTTTGTTATCAGGGTAGTCGTTTCAGTCATTGACACATTCTGGGAGGTTGTTTTCGAAAGATCGTCCAGAGACAAACCCATGCTGATTAATTGGAATAACTCGGTTGATATCTAAGTGTGACATGTTTAGCTTTTAAAACGTTCTCAAACAATCCGCAGAAGTAAGAGGTTATGCTGACAGGCCTATAATCATCTACCGAATGTGAAGGCTCTTCTTCAGTAATGGAGTGACGAACGAATGTCTCCACCTAAGGGAACCTCAGAGAAACAAAGTGACTGATCAAAATATAAGCTTATAGATCTGCTATTATATGAGCAATATTTTTCACAAACAAAGCTGGAATGAAATCTAGCGTCAACGCGTTGGAAGAAGATGATTTCTTCAAAGGAGCACACACTGAGCTACCATCGAACCAGAGAGTCCTTCATGGGGGCTTGAAATGACGGGAGAAAACATGGAAAATGTTTCAACTTCTTCAGAGAACACTTTGGTGAACTTATCAGCTAGCAAGTTAGCTTTATCACGATTTAGTACCACCACAATCCCATCTTTATTCGAACAAGAAAATTTGTGCGGTATTCCAAGTCTCTTAATCAGCAGTTTGATGAACTTCTCTTTACTTCGGCTCCTCATTATCTTCTTTTCCACCTACTTCTTTTATTTCCTGAGCAGAAAATCAAATTTCCAAAAGAAACAGTGGATTCTCTCCCAGTCTGCTTCTGACTGTGAGTTTTTCGCCGCATAAAACAATTATACACGATGCTCCGTTATTCGTAGATAATATGGACGGTACTCACGGGAGGCTGAAACTTGTTTCCAAGGAACAACAGTTGATGGCATGTTGCGAAATTCCTAAAACATCTGATACCTTTCATGAACAGTAGAAGTGGTTTGAAAAGAGTTTCTCCAAACCACTGTAGAAATAAAGTAACAAACTTTATCAAAGTAAAGCTCCTGGAATTTCTGTGAACTGTCAATCGTGAACTGATGTTCCCAACACTGATGATTAATACGAAAAGACAGACTCTCATGGTCACTGTTTCCGATTGGAGATCCCACGAATACATGGGTGACTAGTGTAGCATCATTCAAAAGTATACTTACTTACATTACTTCGATACTTTGATGGTCCATCGGCAAGAAGGTCTTCTCAGCGGGGACCGCAGCTCCTCCATACCGCCCGATCTTTCGCGACTTGCATCCAGAGTAGGCCGCTTTCTCTGAAATATTTGGGAAACGAATCGACCCACCGAGTCGGCAGACGTCCTGACGGTCTTCTTTCATTTCTCGGAAGCCATTCTGTGACTTGAAGACTCCATCTGTCATCAATTCGACGAAGTAGATGACCGGCCCAGCGGTGCTTCGAATGTGCCATGT